ATAATAAATCTTATAAAACTAGTTACCCGCTTTGTAACTCAGGAAGAGTGTAAACCTTTAAGTAGATCTTTATTGACTTAATTTTTATAAAGACTGCCACAAGCTTGATCCTCCAACCCTTTTCGGGGTCACACACTACAAAATCCTCCATTCATATTTTAAGCCGTTTTTCACACACAAGTCTATAAATTTTCTCTCAGAATGAAATCGTCCTGCAAACAGTTTATAAATTGTTTCCGGCATCTATCGGAAGGATCGTTCTTTGTCGACGATACAAAATATCCGTACCTGTAGGATTTCAACAAACCACAATGGGACAGATGCTATTCACGTTGTGAACCGTGTTTGTGGTTAAAGATTAACAAACAAACGAAAAATTTATATATATTATTTTCTTTAAACTTAAACCCGGTTCCGTCTTTTTCCGACAGGCCTACTTACCGCCGAATATCCTGCTAATTCCACCGGCTCTTGGGTTTAATGAAAGGTCTTTAAGATCCGTAACTCACGTACCAATCGCGATTCGGGCCGGTTGATGCAGAATTGGATAAATAACGAGGCCATCGGAGCACATTTATCTTTTACAACGGATAATACGCTTTCCATCGATGCTAAACCATTTTCTGATGAGTTATACCCTTCAACCAGTCTTCGGATTGTATTTATGGACCGGCTACCGAGCATGCGACGAAAAATAACGCCGTGTTAGCAACCTCGACATCATTGCAAAACAGGGACGATTTTTTTTCTTTAAAAGACAGTAAATTTTACGGGCCTTTTGAAGGAGTTTTTAACCGAACGTCATCCATTTTCACTGTCTTTTCTACCATTTCTACCAAACACTTCTCAAAATTTTCTAGCCCTTTTTTATTCGTTATTTTTATAATTAAAATTATTTCAACCTACATTGTAGGTAGGCTGGATTTATGAGCTTTATTAGACATATTACTGGCTTGATAAAAGCATGTGAGATAATTTTGCCGGAAGCAAAAGATAAAGTCACTTACTCTACAAGTATGTATCTATGTATCTTCTTTAAAAAAAAGATTAATTCTCAATATTAAATTTGCAGGCTCAATCTACTCGCTCGTTATCGGTTTAGACAGCGAATTTAAAAATAACAATATTTTAAGAAGAAAACAAGAAGAAAAACTAATTTATTCTGGTACAGGAATATCCTCTTAGAATAATTAATTAAAGTAAGAATTGTTAACATTTTGACACAAAAATTAACCTTGTCATAGAGAACAAAGTAAAACAGTACACTTGTAAAAACAAAACTGAAAGGGTATATGGAAAATTTTACGAAATTATTCCAATGTACAAATATGTTTGATCTTACAAGCGTTATTTAAAGACTGATCAAGGCATTTGGGTTGAGATCAGAACAGTAACAGGATAAGAAACCCAGCGTTTTTAAGCTAGAGGATTTAATATGATCAATGTGGGCAATAAAATTAAATGTGTGGTGCTTAGCGTTAGTCAATGATTATTCGGAGATCGTGAGATGCGATCTGGGGTGGCGTAGGTTTTAGAAAAACATTTTCTTTATCGTGCCAACGTTTCGATCTTTATTAAGATCATCTTCAGGGCCTGGGATTTATAAACATTGTTTAAAATATGCAAATACATGTAGGATGTGAAAAAAGGAATTTATACAATGCTAGAAAATCTTAGATTGAAAAAATGAATTTATACAATGCTAGAAAATTTCTAGATTAAAAAAATGTATTTATACAATGCTAGAAAATTTTTAGATTAAAAAAATGTATTTATACAACGCTAGAAAATTTTTAGATTAAAAAAATGTATTTATGCAATGCTAGAAAATGTTAGATTAAAAAATTAAATTTATACAATGCTAGAAAATGTTTAGATTAAAATAATAAATTTATACAATGCTAGAAAATCTTTAGATTAAAAAAATGAATTTATACAATGCTAGAAAATTTTTAGATTAAAAAAATGTATTTATACAACGCTAGAAAATTTTTAGATTAAAAAAATGTATTTATGCAATGCTAGAAAATGTTAGATTAAAAAATTAAATTTATACAATGCTAGAAAATGTTTAGATTAAAATAATAAATTTATACAATGCTAGAAAATCTTTAGATTAAAAAAATGAATTTATACAATGCTAGAAAATTTTAGATTAAAAAAAATGAATTTATACAATGCTAAAAAATTTTAGATTAAAAAAATGTATTTATGCAATGCTAGAAAATGTTTGATTAAAAACATGTATTTATACAATGCTAGAAAATGTTAGATTAAAAAACTATATTTATGCAATGCTAAAAAATGTTAGATTAAAAAATGAATTTATACAATGCTAGAAATTTTTTAGATTAAAAAAATGAATTTATACATTGCTTGAAAATGTTAGATTAAAAAAATGAATTCATACAATGCTGGAAAATTTTAGATTCAATCAAACTATTTATATCACGGAAAACAAACACTTTGAGTGCGTACAGATACTTTGATTAAATCTAAAATTTTCTAGCATTGTATACTCATTTTTTTTATTCTAAAATTTTCTAGCATTGTATAAATTCAATTTTTTTTATCTAAAGGTTTTAGCATTGTATAAATTCATTTTTCACATTCTACATGTAACTGTATAATTTAAACAATGTTTTTAAATCCCAGGCCCTGAAGATGATTTCAATAAAGATCGAAACGTTGGCAAGATAAAGAAAATGTTCTTCTAAAACCTACGTCACATCAGACCGCATCTCTCGATCTCCGAATAATAATATTAAATTTGGGGTCAAAAATAACACCGAGGTCTTGAGAAGTTGTTTTAAAAGGAAGAGCAGTATTCTGAATAAAGTAAGTGAAGATATAGCTTTTTAGTTATTAGTCCGGTAAAAGCTCATAGAATAGCATTTATCCACATTAAGAAACAAGTGATCCTCTAAAGGCCCCTCGTAAAGAGCATTCAAGTCAGCTTGAAAGTAGTAAGTGGTCATCTTTAGAGATAATAGGCATGAAAAATGTCATCAGTAAAGAGAAGAAGAGTTGAGTATTTTAGAATAGGCGTAAGGTCATTGATCAAAATATTAAATAAGAGTGGAGAAAGATAAGCTCCTTGTGAACACCAGAAGAAAACTTTATTATGTGAGATTGGTAGCTATCTAGTGTAACAATTTGTTCGTGGCTAGTTAAATAACTGGAAATCCAAGATAAAAATCGTCCTGAAATCCCAACAGATTCAAGTTTTAGCAATAACAGGTTATGGTCGACTCTGACAAATACTTTAGAAAAATCAGTTTTAGAACAAAATGTACAAAATACAGATAACTCAATCTGTGTAAAACTTATATTGATAACTTATTGTGTTAAATAAAATGTTTCTTTTATCCTGGGAATATCGACAAGCGAACATTAACAAAGCGCGTCGATTTTATACATGATATATTAACGGTCGTAAAAATTTTTTGGAAATTAAATTAAGATAATTATAATATAATTACTTGATAAAATAATATCATCCAGATTCGTCAGGTGCTTTCCCCTGTGTTGTGAAACCGGAATTCCAAACATTTCGGACGCATTCTGACGTCCTCTCCGGCAGACTGGCTTCTTCAATTCAAACGTTTACGACCCTAATAAAAATATTTCCGTCTCGATTTAGACAAAAAGCATAGTTCACATCGAGGGCCACCGGAGTCGACAGATTCGGGATAGGACATAGCGCATACCGCAGACGGTTAAAATTAGGCTGATTCGGAACAGAAACTCTCGTTCTACTCTTAAGATCGAATATAAACGATTCAAAGAAATCGTGATTAGGTAATCTCCACTTGAATCCGTTCCTGGACACGTGTGACACCTTAAGAAGCGAGAACGTAAGTAAATCTTTGCTATTTGATAACGCCTCTCTAGGCCACTTTTATTCTCCTCGTGGGCAAAAAATATACTGCCGTTTAATCCTGGACGTTAACACATTCAATTCAATCAATTCTGCGTTTTCTATGGGATATAATTGTTTGCAGCATATGCAGCTGCGTTTTTTTTAAATCTTTTTTTATTATCCTCGGACATTTTTTTCTTCTAAGTCCAGTACGTTCCCATCTCCGCAGGATTTTCTTTTGTCAGTGGACAATAGTTGGAGGAAAAAATGCAAGTGTGAACACCCCTCGTCCTAAACCTGGGGTTGGAGGGATTCCCGACATCCAGTATATTGAAATCTTCAGTGACCATTTACACAAGGGAAGAAATGTCCAGTTTCTTTTTACCTGCTTGATTTTTTTCTACATTCATCAACCTCCCTCGATATTGGATTGAAGCATTTTTTTTTTTAAATTTATTTATTTATATATATATTTTTTTTTGATAATTACTTATACTATCATTCAAACGATAATGTTATTGATTCTAATGAAGTTTTGATATAAAAATATCTATTAGTTCGAATTGAAGTTTTTGTTAATAGAAGACAAAATTAGACAAGGACTAAAAATGGAATTAATCTATTAGAAACCTTCACCACATTCCAAAGACAAACGAACATTTAATGAAAAAAAGTGTTATTTACGTAGGTGGTAAAGCGACGGGGTATCAGTATGATTTACACGAGTTTTAAGTATATAACGTGTTTTGACTTAATTTGCTTAATAATGTAAAATATGAAACTGGGACAAGGTGAGATGTAGAAAAATCTTTCGTGGAGAGACGAGCGACGCAAGGCCGTAAGAGACTGACTCTGACTGGCCGGAGCCCGGAACGAGAAGTACGAAAGCGAAGAGGGCTCGCTGACTCTGCGGCCAGAGAACTGGGAAGAGGGTCGAGAGCTGGTAGGGATGGTAAACAAGAGAGGGCCGTCGAAGGGGGCGGGGGTCTGTCCTCAATGCCGCACACTTTCCATAGAGCGAAAACCAAAAAAGAACGGAGGCAACCGGTCGGGAGTTTGGTGGGGATAGGGAGCACGACTCCGGCACGCGTCTCCCCGAATGGTAGGGGTGGAAGTATAAATAGGGGCGGCAGGCGGCGTGCGCCTCATTCCGAGGTGTTCCAGTAGTGTGAGTGCACGGCTCCGGGAGCTACATTTCCTCATAGTGTCCGTTGACGTGATATGGCTTCGTTGGTCGGCAAACCATTGGCTATCGACTTGGGGGTCAAAAGAGAAGCGGTCATCGTAGAGAACGTCAAGTCCGAATCAGTCGACAGGAGTACGGTGCTGGTAGACAACACGTCCGACGTTAGGTGCAAAAGGAGGATCAACTTCGCTTATTCCGGGATGCAACCGGCTTCCGTGGCTAGGAGGAACGCGAGGGAGAGGAACCGCGTCCGACAGGTCAACAACGGGTTCGCCACCTTGAGAAACCACATCCCCTTGTCTGTCGCGGCGGCTTTGGGAGCGTCCAACGCCGGACGCGGTGCCTCGAAGAAGCTCAGCAAGGTCGAAACGCTACGCCTGGCAGTCGAGTACATCAGGTCTCTTCAGGATCTGCTCGACGAGTCCGGCAACGGCTCGGAAAACTACTATAAAGAATGCAAGATGGAACTGTCGCCCGTATGTTCCGACGCCTCCGACTCGCCGCCTCCTTCCACCTCCTCTTATCAATCCGAACCGTCCTACAACGGCAACACCTACCACCACGACAACTACAGCCCGATGAGCCCCGAGGACGAGGAGCTCCTCGATGTCATCTCGTGGTGGCAGCAATCGCAATAGCTAAGGTAAACGGAACTTTTTATTTTCTTTTTTTTTTAACTTTCGGTACGATAACGTTGCATAATGAGGGCCCCACATGTCGTTTCCGCTTCGATCCCCCGACCCTCAATTACACCGTTCGACTAGCAAAAGAAAACTCAAAACGGGCCTATTTTACTAGCTATACGAAAATCTTTCGGCTTTTTTCCTTCTTTATCTCTTGTAAACATCTTACCTGAGCCCGTATATTTACATCCGCCGATATTGCGTTTCCTGTTTCTCGCACCTAATCTGGCTTATCCGAGATCGAGAATTTAAAATGTAAATAATCCGTTAAAAGGCGATCGCCGAAATTTGACTCTCGCCGTTCGGCATCGTCGCTGTATAACGCGTTGAAAAAAGGTTTCATAAATCGGCGTATACCTGGGGACGACGTTCTAGCCGGGGGGAAGAGATTTCTAAAGGAATCCCTCGAAGAAAGGGAAAGGGCACAATGAAACCCCCCCGTGATTCCCAACCGTCTACCTAGTTTGGCGGGGTTGTTTTTTTCCGTCCGGGGGTTGCGGTCAAGGAGCGGAACGACGGTTTGGAAATCGATAGAGCTTCCGGTCGAGATCGTGGGAGACAATGTAGACGCTCTACAATCTAATTGCGGTTCATAACGAAGGTCAATAGAACAATAACCCACTGCGTACAGTCCCGAACAAATACTCATAAACGCTTTGTTTTTGTTTCAGAATCTTCTTTTGACAACGGAAGAAGAAATCAGCTTGTCCCAAGATCTCCCCAAGGTACATTTTCATCCATTTTCTATAAATAGATTAGTTTTTGTAAGAGAGTGTACCACATGCTCTCCATCCTTACGTTTCCTGTCTTAACGTTTCCTTCCTCTTTTCCACAGGTGGTCAGACCCTCTCAACTGTACATATCAAGACAAAGACAAAAAAGAACAGTCTAGTTATTTATTTAAAGGTTCCCTTTTACTAATTTTAACTTTTACTTGTACATAACGGAAATAATGGAGGCAGGGAGTGCAAATTTAATTTGCTTAATTTATGGAGACTCTGTTACCAAATAGTCTGCGGTTCTGCGTACAGAAGCTGAAACGGCTGCCGCGGAACCGCCTTTCGAACATGTAGTTTTCGTTTTCCAACTTAACTTTCGCAAAGTCGGAAATCGACTGTCTACATGTAACCGGTCTAATTTGTACCAGTTACAAGGGTCAAATAATGAAAAAGACTTTTTTTATTTTCTAGTCAAAAGTGGAAATTTGCTATATATTTTTTTTTAAATTGTAATGTAAATAATTATTAGGTTAAAATTTTAGTTCAAGTGATAGAAATTTGCTCTAATTCTCAAAGTGATCGTGTTTAGGCAAAAAGGGGTCTTGAGGCTTCGTTCACGTTCAGATATCCCGGTGGCCGGTCTAAAGCGAAATCTGTTAAAAATTAATTGTTATCGTTTCTGTGATACGACTAAATTAATCCCGTTTGAAAAAATAATCAAAATCTCCTCCTCGACGTCGATGGATGCTGACATTTCCAGAGATGCCTGAACGTTTACGACGACCTCGCAACCTCTTATAGTTTAAAATGGTGCATCCGTGCCTTCATTCAATTTGTGATCAATAACGTTTACTATGTGGCCTTAGAAAAATACTTAATACTCTAAAAAGACGCCGTGACAATAATAAATCGCAGGTGATGCTATTTTTTATTATTAAGGTATTTTTGTACAAATCGACCAAGTTATGAATATTGTAGTTGCTATCTAGTTGATAATTTTAATGATTTTTTTCGTAATGTTATCAGTCAATTGATGCTATGTCTTTAAAGTTTAAGGGCCATATTTATGGTTAAGCCAATGGTAATATTGTTCCGACCTTGTTATATTTTGTATATAAATATTTTATATGGATATTATATTTGGCCAATTAAAAATATTTATAAAAAATACCTGTTTTTTTTTTTTTTAATTTTATAACCCTATCCTTTTTTTCAACAACAGTACGCCCCGATGTTGGAAAGTTTATTTCTGCACGCTCCTATAATAAATGTATGCAATTTTACTTATTTTCTGTACATTATTTTAATTTTCTGGATTTGTGGCAAAATGAAGGAAGAATCTGAAATATAAACGAAAAAATAAGAAAGAAAGAAATATATACATATCTTTTTTGCAATAAATTATTACATATNTATATATATATATATATATATATATATATATATATATATATCTACCTTAAAGAATGAACCAACTCCAAGAGTGTAGTATTTTAAACAAATTATTCTTTTTATGTAAGGTCTTGGTTGAGATGTAAAAGTTAGTGTCACGAGCAGGATTCGAACTCACGACCTTCGGCTTAGCCTTCGCTCTTACACCCTAACAAAGAAAGAAAAAGAATAATTAATTGAAATAATTAATATGATCAATTAGACCACTAAACACAAATGGATTAATTTTAAACAAAGTTGAATCTTCTCTTAAAATTGTAAGTAAAAACCGTAAAAATGTATGAAAAAAAAATATATGTATTCCTGGCGATTGCAATCGCTAGTTCATCGTCTTTTCAGGACAATGTTCCAACATTATGAGCCTCAAATGGAAGGCACTACAATTAACAAAGAATTTGCACGTATGTGCAGAAATCAATTTAAATAAATAATATACATATGAAATCATTTTTTTAAAAACTGAAAATTTTTCGATTTTGTTAATCTTACTTGTAAAAAAAGCGTTAGAATAAAGACAGTGATGAATGGATATTTGTATCACATCAATGCTTGCATAATTGATTAAAAATAATCGACCCCCACGATTATTTTAGTATAAGTGGATTTTCGAAAAGTTTGTAAAAAAAAGTTAACATATAAAGTAAAGCTAAAAAAAGTATAATTTGTATGAGAGGAAGAGTCAGAGTGGTGAGGCCTGGGTTCCATGCTCGGCACGCGAGGGCAGCACGATGCAGGGTGGAGCAAATAATCCGTCCCGAATATTCTAGATCCGGGGATCGACTTGGATTTACTTTCCCTTTCCACCGGACAGGCCGGCATCTTAAGGAAAAAGCTAGAACATTTCCTTTTGCCGCTCAACTGTCACACAAAGAACCTTTCGATCCGCAATTTTGCAATTAAAGTAATTTTGTACGGCACAGTTTTATTAGCACGCAAAGCTCTTGGCTTTGTGGGAAAAAAGGATATGTTGTCCTTTTTTTACAACAACCGAACGATAAGGCGATGCCTATAAATTGAAAAAGTGCTACTGTAAATGGCATAAACCACAGTTTTAAATTGCCTTTGTACGATGCCATGTTCACAATTACAATGCTCACGCCGAAATGATAAAGTTGCGTTTGCAAAATGTGCAGGGAAAGAGCGTCCACTCCTGGTCTCATAAATAATTAGACGGGAGAACTGAAGGTCCAGGTAGGGAGAGAAACCGTCAACACGAACCGCTTAATCCAAGCCTTGGAAAATATAAATGGCGAGTAACTTTTTTTTTTGTGGAAGAGCGTATTTTCGAGTAAGCCGTGAATCTGTTGTCCCGGCTCTCTCCGAGGATAAAGATCACTTTTGTAGAATTAATTCTCCTCAAACGGAGCGTTAAAGCCGCAGAGGGACAGTGTCCAAAAGGCCAGTTTTTTGGTAGTGGGGCCCGGTTTTGGAAGAGGGGACATTCAATGTTCCATCAAATACCTGACCTTCCATGGATCAACCCTCGACCGTCCAAGGTCACCAACGTCCTAGAAAACTACCCTGTCAGTCAAAACAGACAATGCACGGCGAAGGGGCCGGTTTTGCATACGATAAACTGTCATCGACTAATATTTCTAAATTAGCAAATTATTCTTAACAACTGTTAACGTCTGGTCTTGTCAAACACCATAGTTATACGTTTTACTTTTTTCCTTAAAATAAAACCTATCACTGGTCTTCTAAAACATCATAGGTATACGTTTTTTAATATTTTTCCTTAAAATAAAACCTATCACGGGTCTTGGGAAACACCATAGGTATACTTTTTTCTTTTTTCCTTGAAATAAAACCTATTTCATGTCTTGTCAAACACTATAGGCATGCATTTTTTCAAATTTTGCTTAAAAATAAAACCTATCTCTGGTCTTGTCGAACCATAGGTATAAGTTTTGATTTTTTTTTCCTTAAAATAAAGCCTTCAGCAAACATGAATTTTGACTGGGAACGACGACTTTTCGCTCATCATCTTCGGATGCCAGGCCATGTTCATACGTAATTCATTCACCCAAAAGTTTCCTCCCGAGCTTCACGACAACCATCAATTCTCAAGGTGTAATCGAGATAGATAGTCTTCTTGCATTACATAGTAACAGCTAAAGCTTAATGTCTGCCCCCTGGAAGACCTAAATGTTGGGGATTTTTCATCTATATGTATTTCAAAGGTTTCCTCATTCTGCTCGAAGCTTTTGCCCATCTTCTGTCGAAGTTCTCTTATCGTCGCAGTGTGAAGACCTGAATTTATAGAAGACAATTCATCTGTTCTATTCCAGGTTCTCGAAAAATCAGACCACGAGTAATTTTAGGAAATTGAACTTGTTACCGAGATGATCTTGGTGACTGAAGACCATTAATTTTGCCATGTTGATGTTCAGGCGCGCGTGTTACCCTACTGTCGAGAACTACATATGGAGTTGTACATTAATGTTGTCTACAAGAATTGTTGTGTCATCACTTTATTTGAAGGCATTGACACTCACTCAGTAGTGTCTTTACAGGGGTGGCCTGCGACAGGCTGCGAGAAACAGCATCCCTGTTTAATTCTTCTCTTATCTCTATTCTCACATACATTTAAGTTGGTCAGGAATATAAATTAAACACCTCCAACTTAAACAAATTCGACGGACTTCCTTCTGAAAACGATACGCACCGAATTAGTTCATTGTGAGAAAGCGGCGGAAACTAAGAAGGTACGGTATGATAATGCGCGCTGTAGGGACCCTAGAACGCAAACAATAAACAACCTTCGTCCGCTAATAAATGTTTTAATCGTTTCTCTTAGTGAAGGGATGGTCGGGAAGGGCCACAAAAAAAATGGACGGAATAATAGTGCGGAAGGGGTGCACGTAGGCTCTAATGGCAACATCCCCTTTCGACGGAGCAAAAAATACCCCCGAAAAGGCCGGCAATTAAGTAACGGGAGATTGTTCTCAGAGGGTTGATGGAGATCCGACGGGAGAGATTGTAAACGAAGGAGGCACGTGCTTAGTACTTTAATACGTGTATAATGGCGATGGGGTGAGAGCGAGAGAGAGAGAATCAAGAAAAATAGAGGGTGAACTATCCGCAACTTACCAGAGGGAATGAATTAGCTTAATTCATCATTCTCCCTTCACCAGAATATTTACAACCCGGGCTCACAACAACTATCTATGATTAAAAGTCTAATAAAGATATGTATAAAAAATATATAAAAATATATGTAATATCTTCTCTACACATAATAAAAGTTTTTTTTCATAAATATTAAAAACAACATAAATATTTTTTCAATTAATTCGGGTCTTTAGTTGAGATAAAAAAGTCAATGGCACGAGCGGGATTCGAACCCATGATCTTCGGCGAGATACGCCGCTGCTCTACCACTTGAGCTATCGTGACCTCGATCCACTCGGACACTAACATCACCTCTCAACCCCACCTTATGAATTTTCCCTCCTTTTTGCCATTTTCAAGCTCTTTTTTTCCCGTTCGTGACACTGACTTTTTTATCTCAATTAAAAACCTCAATTAATTGAAAGATATTTTTGTATTATTTAGATATTATTTATATCTTTTTCTCTTACCGGTTAATCGATAGATTTGATTAGATCCCATATTTTCGTTTAGAAATCTTAAATAAGCTGGATCCTCTAATAAATTTCTCTACCAATCTACTTATCTGATTCTTGTATCTTTCTGTTGAAGTTTTCGCTGACTACAATTTGAACTTACCATCCATACTGAAAATAACGGTCAACACCTTGTATTTGTTGTCCGCAAATTACTACAATTAAATTGACTAAAAGGTGAATTCGAACGAAGAATTGAAATTTGATTGTTAAGGCCGTTATTAAGTTGGATATTAGAATTATTTAGATCAAGAGAAAATACGTGCCAAAATGTTTTAATCGTTAATGGCTGAATCTCGGACCTGGTCGGACTTAATTTCGGAACCGAGGCGGGCCGGGGCCGTCTCTTTATAGAGAGAGTTCGACGGAGTGGCAGGAATCCAGTTTGGGCTTTAATAAAGAAAGGGCTTCGAGTTTACAAAGGGTTTTTGTGGATTTTCAAGTTGCTCGCATTGTTTAAGCTCCACCTGAACGGTCGAGGGCACACTCCCGAGATCTCTTTCGACCAAGGTCGACGACGTACGACGCTCAGCGACCTTTTCCAGAAATCACTCGCCAACCGATTTGAATGGATTTCAGCGGACATCTGTTTCGCCTTTTACAACGTTTTACATGGAATGCTGTCAATTAAACGGATGCAAGTTTCGAAATAGTGTCCGTTCAAAAAGTCGCAGCAGGAGATTTGGCACGAGCGTTCAGAGGGCTTTGTATTCGGCTTGTAAGCCCTAGACGGCCACAAATCGCCTCGTAGGCGCGTACTCTTACCTAACTCACGAAAGGCAGTAGCAGGAGGTCCTTTTCACCTAACGGGCCGACCTTCCACCTTTCGTGATCTCCTACTGTTTTTTTTCGGCTGGAGTTAATACCCGGGAGGTCCGACGCCAGGGGGCGTATTGAGACGTCCGGGAGGAACGACAGGCGAAATAGATTTACAGAAATGGAGCAAAGTGGTCAATCGGAGGAAATTAGTGTGTTTAAACCTAGTGAGCGTGCTTTCCTAAGCATTCAAGTCTCCACAGCTCTGTTTTCGTTTCTATTTCAAGATTGCCGTCGTTACTTT